CACTTGAGCTACAGCGCCACTTCCGGTTTTCTGGTGGTTTATTGGAGATAGGAGTCTCACGGTCTTTCCTGCCCGAGCTGGCTTTGAACCACGATCCTCAGATCTCAGCCTCCTGAGTAGCTAGGATTACAGGCGTGAGCCACCAGCGCCCAGCGGGAGGTTTTCTTTTGCTTGTGTCTTTTTATATAAATGATATATTTATTACTTTTTTATTAAATGAGAAAACACTCCCACATCTCTTTTAGATGCTGCAGTACCTCATAAGCTTATTTGTGAAAAGTGGAAAGGAAAGGGCAAAAGATTGAAACCCACTGCTGTACTTATATTGTAAGTACTGTGTTATCAAGGGCTGTAACATTCAAGTAAGAAGGCTCAAACTCAAAAGTTCACATATGGATTGTCAATTTGTGTTTGCTCTCGTTATAATTCAGCCATTTCTAGAACTGCTATAAAAGGCCCCTTCTTTGAACATCTCAATTCTTAACGGTGTTTGTGGTATCTTTTCATTTTCTGTCAAGTATTTCACCTTACTGGGGACTGAACCTAGGACCTCCTGTTTGTGAAGTAAATCACACCCTATTCCTTTTAGTTTTAGTTTGTTTTGCAGGTAGGGTCTTGTACTCCTGCTCAGGTTCACCTCAGACCTCAATCCTCCTAAATCAGCTTTTTCAGTAGCTGGGATTATAGATAACCACTATGTATTAACAACACTCCTAGTAAGAGGTATATTTAAAAGAAAATAAAGAACTCATTTTAATCCATTCATATTGTTTGAAATTGTATATTTTCCCACTTCACAATAGTGAACCTAACAAGGATAGTATCTCTTAAACACCTGGTAATGTGTTATATGTTCCTCACCAAATTAGGAAAAAACATGGTTTTTGAATCTTAAAACATCTAGCCTTATCCTCCAGATGATGTAGCTAGCCTTCACAAAAACATATGAAAATAGTTCATCTATCCAGTTATTGTAGTGAATGCCTGTAAAAGGATGCAAAAACAATCTGTATACTGTTGAATGAAGCCTTATTAGGCTACAGAAGAATAACAATAGTGGAAATAATGCTGCACTCCTTCACCACATTGGCTTTTTAAATGCCTCGTTTATATCTTCTCTCTGTCTTCTGATCCAAGTGTTTTACTCAACTCTTAAATAAATCTTTCTACTCTGCTAAGATAATATTTCGAATTTTTTTATCTTAAATATTCGGCAGTTGAAATTGCATTCCTGTAATTATAATTATCACTAATAGAGCTTCCATTTCCCATGTCATAATTAATGTCAGGCTTTATTAGAGCACAATCATGCTGCCTTTCCTCTTACAAGACATCTTTTATTGTCACAACATTTATGATACATTGAATTAAGCAATAAAGAGACCTACAGGCCTTCTGGAAGGATAACCTTTAGATCAAACATGCTGGATTATGTGACTTTAAAAGTGGTGGGTTTTTCTTATTGTTCCTAAAACACTTAGAAAATGGTTCCTAATGTGCTGTTTGTTCAAAAATAATAGGTAAAGAGGTAAATCAGAGATTCAGTGATAAATACATTAGATTTCCTAGAAAGTTATTTAATATATTCCCAGCACGAATGAAAAAATTAATTATACAAATCAAATATCTAGAGATCATACTTATTAGTTGTAATATATGACATACACAGAGGTATCTATTTCACAACAACAATCTGTTGGCAAGAAAAGTATATTTTCATATCCATAGATTAAGTTTTATAAGCCCTGGTTAGACTTCATTACATTTATTTAAAATCATACCCAAAAAACTCCATCTTTACCACTGAACTATTCAAATAAAGAAAACTTGAATCCTAGTTGCAATAATGAAATTATAAATTCAAAATTAAATTTCACAATTTAAAATATAATTAGAAGCCGGGCACTGGTGGCTCATACCTGAAATCACAGATACTCAGGAGGAGATCTGAGGATCGTTGTTTGAAGCCTGCCCAGGCAGGAAAGTCTACAAGAATTTGTGTGTGTGTGTGTGTGTGTGTGTGTGTGTGTATCTGATCGTGAGGCTTGAACTCTGGGCCTGAGCACTGTCCCTCAGCTCTTCAGCTCAAGGCTAGCACTCTACCACTTGAGCCTCAGCACCACTTCTGATTTTCTGGTGGACGCAAGAGTCTCGTGGGCTTTCTAGCCCCAGCTGGCTTTGAAACATGATCCTCAGATCTCAGCCTCCTGAGTAGCTAGGATTACAAGTGTGAGCTACCAGCTCGGGGCTATGAGACTCTTTTCTCCAATTAAATCACAGAAAAAGCTGGAAGTATCGCTGTGGCTCAAGTGGTAGACTTCTAGAATCCAGTAAAAAGGAGCTCAAGGACAGTGTATAGGCCCAGAGTTCAAGCATCAGGACTGGGAAAAAGAAAAATATATATATATACATATACATATACAAATACATATACATACATACACAGAGAGAGATAATAGATAGATAGATAGATAGATAGATAGATAGATAGATAGATAGATAGATAGATTTTATATATATATATAAAGAATTAGAGGCAAAGTAGCAAAAAGTTAAAAGCATCTCAAATATCAAATAGTACTTCATAAATCAGTGTAAATAGGCCATAACTTTAAAATAGAATGTTGAACCATGTTTTTGAAGCTTACGAAAGACACAGCTGTGCTTTTGAGGGTCATGCAGTCACTAGCTACAGTCCATGATGCATGCATGTGGTCCACCAATAATGCAATTACTGCTTTTCAGAGCCAGGTCCCATACTTTGACCCTCATTAGAATCCTTAAATCTCTTTCCTGATTGGTTCATATATCCTCAAGAAGTGAGGAGTGAGCTATAAGGACCAAGATTTGAAGCCAGCCCAGGAAGAAAAGTCTGTAAGATTCTTATCTCCAAGTAACCCGGAAAAAGAGCAAGCATTGGAGATATGGCTCACATGCTAGAGTGTCAGCCTTGAATGAAAATGCTGAGATCCTGCCTTAGCCCTGTGTTCAAGCCCCAGTAGCATCACAAAAATATATAAGTAAATAAGTTATATAAAATAATTTAACTTAAATTTAATTCAAAATTAATACATTTAAATTATAAATCAGCCTAAGTAGATCTTATCTTCCCCATGTTTGAAAGTAAGTCATGGGATAATAACCCACAAGTCCCAAATGCAGCATTTAAGGAAATTTCTTAGGATTGAACCTACAGTAGGATGTCTATCCACCTTCCTGCTTTTCTTCCTCATTCCAATCCAACATGGCGCTACGCTGAAGGGAACTCAGAAACAAGCTCAAAGACACATCCAGACTCTGTCCTCACATCCTCTCATTAAGCTGCCTCTTTGGCCACTATCTTGCATTTACAGAGAGGTGGGGAAAACACAGGAACTGTGTACTCTGTTATTAGAAAATAAGGCCTAGGATGAACCAACTCAGGCCCTAATTGTGGACTCCCCATTTGTTAAAAAGTTCATGGGTCATGGGGAGATGGTGTGCTCTCTAGGAGTTAGAGCATGACTTAAATTACTTGGTTAGTTCCCTTAGCTCTTCAAACTTGCCCAGTGAGGAAGGGTGCAACCCAAGAATGGTCAGAGGTCAACTCTCAGTCTCAGAGCTCCCTCTTGTCAAGATTGAAAGAAGTTCATAATGAATTAAGTGTTCTTAATTGAAGCTAAGAACTCAGGGCATGGAAACAGCTTTATTTTCCCTCAAGCAAAATTGACATAAAAATGGAATGATTATGAGGGAAGCAATAGTCCTTTCATAGAAAATAAAACCTATCCTTACCTTTGAATCCAGACAAAAGGAAATTACAATTTTTTGAAACATTTCCATGTCTATGACTATCTACTGACCACAGATACAACAATACTAGTGATAGTATTTTATAAGTGCATGGTGCCCTTAAACATTAACTTTTATTGCATGAATCTTTTCAAAACACCTGAGATGTGTAAAAAGAATATATACCCTGCATTCTCACATTATCGAGAGATTAGTTGAGTATTTCTTCTAAAGTCTTAAATTTTATGTTGGAAAAACTGATGGTAACATTTGGAATAGATTTTAAGCCTTTCTTATTCTCAGTAAGGTCTCTCTCCCTTTTAACAGACTGTATCTTATAGTACATTCTAGTTCACTGAGCCAAAGTTAAGCTCTATGAATGACTCACACATTGCTATTCCAGTCCTATTATGTCAGAGTTCTTATTTATGAGCTCTTGGAATCTTTGACATCAATATATTTTTAAGTTATATACAAGAAATGCCCAATATAGAAGAAATATTGTTTTATGTAAGCATTGTTTTCAAACAGGACTGAAGTTGAAAAATAGAAGGAAAGAAAGAAAGAAGTAGGGAATGGATGGATGGAGGGAAGAAAAGAAGAGTAAAAGAAAAGAAAGAAGAAACAGGGAAAAAAAGAGAGAGAAAAACAGCTCTGCAGTCTATTATGGGCCTATAATTCCAACTACTTAAGAGATAGTGGCCAGAGGATTTAAGGCAGCCTGGGCAAAAAGATAAGGATAAGTACACGGTTCAAGTGGTAGAGCACCAATTTAGTGTGTGAGATGCTTTGAGTTCTATCCCCCCAAAAAAGAGAAAAAAAAACTTAAGAAAGAAAGAGAAAGAAAGAAAGAGAAAAAAAAGAAAGAGGAAAGAAAGAGTGGAAAGAAGGAAGGAAGGAAGGAAGGAAGGGAGGGAGGGAGGGAGGGAGGGAGGGAAGGAGGTAAGAAAATTACCATGCACCCTTTTGAGCTGAAAACACATAATTTAATAAATTGCACTTCTCATTGAAATAGTCTCATTTCTAGACACTATTTTGATTATTAGCATATACCAAAATGATTTGATAGTTCAACCTTCCACTTGTAGAGAAAGTTTCAAATACAGGATAAATTCAGAAGGATCTCTCATTATAAATGGTCATGAGTCAACAAGTCTGACAATACTATCCAAATTGACAAAGGAGGTGAAATATGCTTTACATAGAGTTGCATGGAAGTATAAGCCTACCTGAATCATATGCGAAATCTCTGGGTTCCTGTTTAATCATCAGAGGAGGGGGGAAGCTTTGGCTGGATGCACCGCCAACCATGGTGTTATGCTCATATACTGGGTCATGGTACTCCTGCTTAAAGCCTTGTGGTGGGAAAGGAATGTTTGGCTCAGACATCTGACGTTGGTACATAGGACGTCCTTCCCTTGGCATTGTCGGCAAAGGAGGAAAGGAGTTACAAGGTTCAGAAAGCTGGCGGCGAAATCTAGGGGATAAGAGAATATGTTTCAGATAGATCGTAAACTCAGACTATTCTTTTAAATTATACCAATAACTTTTAAGGGCTAGTAAACAAAATAGTACTCAATGATCCAAACTATCAATATGAAAGATCACAGCATTTCTCTTTCTTAGGTTAGTAGCATTATAATTCTTTTCGTTGGTGGTGGTGGTTGTGGGGTTTGCACACAGAGCCTGGGCACTGTCCCTAAGCTCTTTTGCTCAAGGCTACCACTTTGAGCCACAGAGCCACTTCCAGTTTTCTGGTAGTTAATTGGAGGTAAGAGTCTTACAGACTTTTCTGCCCAGGCTGGTTTTGAGCTGTAATCCTCAGATCTCAGCCTCATAAGTAGCTAAGATTACAGGCATGAGCCACCAGCTGCTGTCTACATAATGATTTTTTTTTCTTTCTTTTTTTTTTTATTGTGAAACTACTGTACAGAGGGGTTACAATTACATGGGCAAGATAATGAGTACATTTCTTATCAAGCATTGTAGCCTCCTCCTTTGTTTCCCCTTCCCATCCCTTCCCATCCTCCCCCAACCCCTACATAATGATTTTTAATCATACACTGACTTACGTTTCTTTTCGGATCTATTCCTTATAATCACTTCAGGACAATTCATAATTTAAAGATACGTTGGGAGCAGAGATAAGAGTGTAATAAAGTACTCTGAGTATATATAAACTTTAATAGCTAAGAAGCATGATTCTAAGCCAATTAGTTTATTCATGTAACTTCTACATGAAAAGATTCTGAAATAACTATATATGGAAAAGAATCTGATCTCCAACTTCATTCTCTCTTTTAATTCTGTTACCATATTAATCAGCAAACAGCAGCCTTCTTATATTGGTTTTCTTTCCACAACCATCAGTAATGACTGAAATAAGAAAGCAGCAACTCTTTTGTCAAATCAGCAGAACTTTTAATTCTCCAAGAATGCTCCAATTAATATCAGGTTCAAGTAACAAATAGAATGTGATTTTATGGGGATTCAAATTTAAGCTTTTTGTTGATTCTTTTTAAAACAGTATAAATATACAGCGGACCACCAAAGGAAGATAAAAGAAATTGCATAAATTTGAGGCAAGGTGGCTGAGAGATCAGAAGTAAGTTCCGAAGCCTCAGCAGAAAGCTAGAGGTGAGTCCTGTGCTCGTTCATCCTTGTTCATCCTGTGTAATGATTGACTGCTCATATAATTCTTTTGTTCCGTGTTTCTCATCCATAATATTATTGACCCACCACAAAGATATGGATTAATTAAAGATTCAAAAGTGCTCTAAAAATGCCCCAAGAGTACTTAAAAATAACCTATAAAACATCTATAAGCAAAAATTAGCCTATTAACCATCCCCTACTAAAAGCATCCTGAGACTTTAGGAAAGATACCATTTAATTTTGGTGATGTCAAATCAAAACAAGATAGAAGCTAAACAATGGCAAGGCAATTGCTTTAGCATTTCTAAGAAGACACCATCCTGTGATTCAACTCTAGGCTCCCTGGCTGCTATGGAAAGCCCTGAAATTCCACCTACACCTGCAGAAAATAAACTTGGAAGCTCGGATATTGAAGGAAAAAAAAAAAACAGGCTGACTGGCACTGCATTCATTTCCCTTCTCTTGCTTATTTCATTAGCCAAAAAAAGAAACAGAAATTATCATTAAGAACTGTCAAGGAGTGAATCAGAAAATTGTAACTTGAAGATAAAATAAGAAACTAACTCACTTGTGAAGCCTTAAAAGGCAGTTAATAATGCTTGTACAGAAAGCTTTGCAGGGAATCAAACCATTTGCTTTTACAAAGTCAACCTGATACCAGTTGGGTTCTTGCTGGGGACATACACACATCAAACACATGCTTTACAAGAGACCACAGGGTGGCATTCTTATCAGCCACTGACCAGTAGTAAAATGAAAGTGACTGAAGAAGCTTCTGGAAGAAAGTTGATGGGTAAGAAAAGCATGCTGGTGAAGTCGTGCAAAGTGGAGGGGTAGGGAACACAGAGAGAGGGAGAAGGAGATAGAGAGGGAGAAGGGAGGAGGAGAGGGGGAGGGGGGAAGAGAGAGACAGAGAGACAGAGACAGAGAGAGAGAGACAGAGAGAGAGACCGGGATCTTGCTCAGTAGGTTCAGGACAGAGTGCCAAAGGGCTGGCCTGAGGCTGAGGAAAGGAAGCAGAGCACAGGCCAATTGGCCACTGAGTGTTCCCAGAGGGAGGCGGGGTGCTGGGCTAGATGGGGCTATCTGGGAAAAGCATCTATTCCCCAGAGCAAATTTGCCATTTGTAACTGAGTGACTGTCATTTGTTTGGCTACAGCCCTCTAAGAAATCCTCAGCAGAAACATAAGGCTTGGGAGATTTTCCTGGGATTGGCCAGCTGGTACTGTCCTCAAAACGCAGTTGGGGAGCAGTGGGAAAAGACCCTGAGCTTCCCTCTTGTAGTTCCGGGCCGGCTGTTCTGGGTCTCAAATATTTGACTTCAAGTTGAGAAACTAAAATGGATTTGGCTAACGAATTCCAGTTAGGTCATCTAAAAACGAACACTGCTGCTTATTCGGCAGTCACCTTCCCAAAGAAATAACTAGTCTGCACAGATAGAACCTACGATTTTGGCAGCCACTTGGAGTTTGAGAGGTTGGGTTATGAAGAACTCTGGGAAGTCACCAAAAGTGGACAAAATAACACTTGATTCTATTCTTGTGCTCCGTTTCTTTTTTCCTTTTAGCCCCCACACAATGCACATCTGTTTAGTGGCCCACCCAGCAATACATTCTTTCATCTGTTTACAAAGCTGTTTACACAGATGCACATACCATTTCACTCTGACAAAGCCTCAGGACTACGGGTGAGAAGGGAAAGATAATAGGAGCCATTTCAAAACTAAAGCACAAGAGGCCTAGAGGATGAAACCAAATGTAGAAGTCTCACGTGGGAGGGGGGGGGGGGGGAATGCCTTCATCTTACCCAAAAGAGTTTGGGAATGTGAAATTGTGCCCATCAAATAAGTCCTAAAGATCAGGTCTGAGTGTTGATTTTATATTTAGAAAGTTGCCTGTGCTACCTGTTCTGCTTTTTTAAGCTTATCTGGAAAGTTCCTTTGGCTGAGTTAATTTCACAATGGTGTCACAGTCAGATAGCTAATGGAGATAGCTTATGGATTTATTATTCTGGATAGCTTATGGATATAGTATTCAGGAATTCTGGTGGCCAATTGTGAAACACAATTAGGAATTGCAACCATGCAACTTGAGATGAGTGGGGTTGGGAGAGAAAGAGAACAAGTAGGAAGGGGTGACATTGACCAAGATCCAATGTACTCATAAACTGACATGTTGATTTGAAACCTCTTTTTACAACTACTTAATTTTAAAAAAAAAAATCACAATGTATAATTTCACTGATAATATATATTTAAAAAGGCAATAGAAACCTAAAGCTTGCTTATTCCTGATTTTGCTACATTCTACTACTTGTTATGCTCATAGGGTTATGCCTACTGCATCTGTAGGACGACAATACTAAATAACCTTTTTCCAGCTAGCATTCACGGTTGTCACAAAGATAGCTCACAGCCAGGAGACCCAATACATGTTAAACATGAAATCGTTATCACATCAGTGGTTACATACAAGTGCAAAGTAAAAAGAAGGAAGATGGAGATCTGCTATGTATAATCAGCTGTATATAGTCAAATGTATTTTAAGTCATGTATTTAGGCAATTTTCCAGTATCTGATTTACGTATGTCTTTGTCTTGAAAAGTCAAGAATTTTCCACCACATACTTCTGACTAGTTGAATGTTTGAGAGCTTGCCTTTCCCCTAACACTAATTTACTTTGTCTCCTTAATTCAATGTTCTCAGTGTCCATGGTCATGGATCTATTGACATTAAATTTTCATCCTTTGAAAAGGATGATAAACACTTTTAATCAAATAAATTACATACAACCATGTATGGCTAAATCATTCAATCTAAGGTAAAGAAGATAATTCCATAAGCCATCTGCTAAAATTAGCCTCTTAACTTTACAGAAGTACAGACATATGCTCATAGAAATGGGATGATCTGATTTAAAGTTTAAGTAAAGCAATGTAATTCAAGCAGAGCAAAAGGAAAATGTTCAAATGTCAGAATATAGATTGTTTTCCATTTTAGCAACCAATTTAAATGTTTATAAAAGGCATGTTATAAACGACCTTCTCGACAAATTACTTATAAATATACAGTGAGCAAGCTCTTTCAAATAGTATGTACCTATGTACAATATTAATGTGCTCATCTTTAAACTAATATAGGTCTTCAGAATTAGTAATAAGAATCCCCTCCAAGAGAAGAAAGCACAGTTCTAAAAAGAAAACAATGGTATGTGCAGTTTACCTGTGGTCCATGGGGTAGCTGCTGTCTGGTAAGGACTGCGATGGAGGGAGGTGAGCTGGAAAGGCCCGGTCAGGTTTCGGAGTGTGTGTTGAGTTTGGAGATGCATGATGTAGTGGGGACACTGGCGTACTGGATGGTGTTGGGGGGTTGGAGGGCCTCATTCCCACTTGTGGCTTCTGATCATAGGCACTATCCAGGGAACATGAGGAAAAGAGAACAGTTGTTGCTTTAAGCAAACTTTTTTTTTTCTTAAGTTTCCAGTCCTGGGAAAAAAGTTCATCTTAGACTTAAGTCATAAGGGAGCTAAAATCTTATCAAAATCACCATCCCTTCAAACAGAAAATGGAATACTTATGTGAAGTCTTATAATGGTGTAATACATAAAATGTGGGGGGGGTTGTATATATATAACAATTTGTAAAAGGAAAATCCTTCAATGGAAATAATGCTATTTTTTTCCATCTACTCCTTTATGTGTGTGTATGTGCAGGTACTAGGGCTTGACCTCAGACTGAACACTATTCTTTAGCTTCTTCATTCAAGTTGGCACTCTACCACTTGAGTCACACTTCCACTTCGAAGTTTTTTGGGTGATTACTTGGAGATAAAAGTCTGAAGGACTTTCCTGAGCAAGATAGTATTGAACTGAAATCCTCAGGTCTCAGCCTCTTGAGTAGCTACGATTGTATCTATCCATTTGAGTGAATGTGATGGATCTCTCCTACATCATTAGATAGCTATTATTTTATAATCTTTCATTGATATTACATTTTAAAACAAGAACAAACAGTAGGTTAATAAGATGGAGACTATATTTGTTTTGCCTTTATCTTTGTGGTAGAATTTTAAGAAAATATATTTGCCTTTTTCAATTTTTTTTTAATTAAATGAATGATGGTTGGATTAACTTCCTCACATAGGATAATAAGGATTAATGAGGAGAATTAAAGTGTCTGATATAGTTAAATTTTCTTAGAGCATGAGAATGAGTATAAAATAATGTTATTAAGAATAAAATTCTATTACCATAGCCTAACTTCCACTCACAATTACAGCAGAATAAAATGAGTAAGCTTGATCTTATGTTATAAATTTAAATTGCTTTCCTATGTGTGGCTTTGGGGAATATGATTTCACTAATTACTGTAATCTATAAAATGTTTTGTTAAAGGCTGATTTTACTGAACAAAAAGATAATTCCAGTTTGAATCACTGTGTTTTCTTTTAAAATTAAAAAAATCAAATACTTTTTCTTTAAAAGGAAATGTTTTAATAGACATATTTAATAATTTATTACCATTCCATCAATACAATTGAATTATATCCAATTGCAAAAGTACTTTACCGAAATGGAGTATATGCTATGTATGTATGTCCACTTGATTTTAAAGTAAAGTCAATGATATTCAAATAAAGAACCAGTTGATTGATTCTACCTATGTTCATTATTAGAATTTCTAAATGAAAACCTGCTTCTTCTGAAATGTGGCTCATCTGACTCATTTTCATGAAAGAAGAAACAAACGGCTCATTCTCTAACCTAAAATATTACTGTTTCCCTATGAACTGGTGTATTAAATTATATTATCTGTAGAGAGATGGAAGTAAGAGAATTCATTATATATGTCATTTATCACAGAGAATTATTGGTCCTAAAAAATGTTTTCAAATATCCAAGCAATTCCTCCACTGTTAATTTATGGAAGTGAGATATGTTATACAGAACACAAGTCATTTCAGTCACAGTTCTGATCAATGCTGAGCTGCAGTGATAATTCTGGATCTCACTGCTTCGTTGATAGCAAATTCCTCAATATGTTAAATAACTATGTTGTGGATACTCAGCATCTTAAGGAGAAAATGCAAGAAATAAAACTAAACAATGAAACACTGATCAATATGGTCTTATGTGAACTCAGTATGCTTTCATACTTAGCTGCTGCAAGAGATCTTTTTTTTTAATAAAAGCTTTGCAGTTTCAACTGAGCCGGCTCATAATTTCAGGCTCTAGTGAAGCTCGTAAAAAAACAGATATAAAAGACAAGTTTTTGAGAACAAATAGAAATAAAATACCATAATAGTAAGTTAGGCACAAGTGGTTCATACCTGTAATCCTAGCTACTCAGAAATCTGAGATTTAATGATTGCAGTTGGTTCAAAGCCAGCCAAGACAGAAAAGTCAGTGAGACTCTCTGTCAGAAAAGAAACTATGGCTCAAGTAAGTGGTAAAGTGCCAACCTGGAGTGGCAAGCTAAGGGACAGCTCCCAGCACCAATACCTATAACCAAAACAACAACAACAACAGACTAGTATTGGCCAGGAACTATGAGAGGGTACCAAAAGAAGTTTCTGGACTCTTAGATGCTTTAGATAGAAAAGAGGATATATAGCAAATGTGAAGAGATAAGGAACCTTTTAAATCATAATAGGTGATGAGCCTGAGCTAACATAATTTATAAAACCATATAAATATTTGCAACCATTTTTATAAGTTTCCAAACCAACTCCTCTCAGCAACTAAGTTTCTACTGTAATTGTGGTCATATTCAGAAGTCAGAGCCAACTTGTACTTTATACAATTAGAGGCTAATATGAAAAGTAAAAGCAGGCAATTCACGATGCATGCAATTCATGATGAAGAGTTTTCAATGAACATATATGTTATCAAATTTTCTGCCAAATGAACAATGCACTTTTATGGCACCACCCTGTATTATCATTAGAAGAACAACTGGCTTTTTAATAGATAATAGCCTCTTCCAGCCTTATAAACTTGCAGTTTTATTACAAGTGTCCATGAATGTACCAGATAGATCATCTGCAGTGCCTGTCAGATAACTAATGTACTGCTTAGACTTGCCAAATGTTTCTTCTTTTTTTTTCTATAAACTCTTGATCTAAAGTGCATAATGCATTCATGCTAATGGGAACCTTCACAAGCCTCTGTGCCAAAAATGACCCTCTCTTCCACCCCAAGATGCATCACTACAGTAGAAAAGCAACTAATGATTAAAATGAAAACTATTCCTTTAAAATGACTATAAAAGTGTGTGATTGTAGGGCAAATGGTTCTTGAAAAGTCCTGCTAAATGTATTACCTAATTAGCTTGTGACGTAGATGAAGATATAACTCATAAAATTGACTTGAGATTTTATATTTTTTCAGAATTGTTTCTATAAGAACCACCACCCTATATGCATGCACTGAATTGCTTTACCTGACATTGTACAGGCACTTTTCTCCATAGCTGAATTTAAAGGGCTGCTCTTGACTGCAGGCAGAGCCGAGTTCTGAACATGGACTGTGTGGTTCTTTCTTGATTTTCAGTGGTAGGCCATGAAAAGCCACTAAAATAAAATAATTTTAAAAACCCATAAAAATTAAATACATTTAAAAATTAAGTATACTAATATTTGACTTCTCTTCTTTAAAATAGTATTACCATTTCATAATAAATATATATACATATACGGATTGAAGAATCTCTATATACTTCTTTCTGCTTTTGTGTAACAATAAACATGCTTGAATGTCCTCTCTTAAAGTAAATCAAATCACTAGTAATTTGCTTATCTGATATTAACAATTCTAGAAGCTCAGTTTTCAGAAGGGAAGCTTTGAAAACATTTCAGAAAGATTTCTAATGACTAAAACTGAAAATAATACAACTGAATCAACTGAAGCCTCAAATATAATTTTAAGCACCATTGACATGAAAATATCTCAAGTGCATCAATAGTAATGGTTTGATGGAATGACAACTAAAATATGACAAAGAAAATCCATGGGTGGGACCAAAGGAAAGAAATGATACTTTAGACAACATTTCAACCTCTAAGAACAATGGTTATTTACAAAGCAGAGGTTAAAATACCTGCCTACAGAATTAAAATAACTACATACCAGAATTGTATATATGTCACAAATAACAAAATAATCATTCAATATCATGATATGTTATGCTACTTTATATTACTTAATATATGGTTACTATGTTTTATGTATGTCTGTAAGTTAATGTGATTCACTTATACTGAAAATAATATAGTAATAAGAATAAAAACTTTAAAAAGATAGAAAAAAGTATTCTATGAAGCAAGTATATTTTCAGATAAATATTTATTTGTATAGCCTTAAAACAAATAAATATCATCTTATTGCTTTATTCTGTAATATGAAACTGAATAGAAAAATCATTAAATAAGGAATTGATTTTTAGGAGAATATATATAAGAATGCATTTTTATACTGGTGCATGCCTGAAATCTAGCTACTCAGGAGGTGGAAATAAGAAGATCTCCTTATGAACCTGGAGAAAGCCAAATAAAACCTGTTTCAAAAACAGAATAAAAACAAAATAGCTGGGTCATAACTCAAATGATAGGGATCTTGTCTAACAAGAAAGAGTTCAATCCCTGGGTTCAATCCCAATTTCACTTATTTTTAAATATCTTAATATCCACAAGTATGGTTAATCTGTGAATCCACACTGAAAGAACATATATTCTGGAAATATATTCTGGTTCCTTTAAAACACAAAATGTCATGTGTACATTTTATAAAGGAAGATATCACAAGGAAAACGTGGTTTATAATATCATTTAACTTTCATTGTACTACTACATTATATATGCATACTATCTTCTATGTCATATATAATTTTAACTTAAGAATTAGATATCAAGAACCATCAAATTTAGTGACACTAAACACTCTGTATAAGTATACAATTTTGATGTGTCCAATCATATTTTAGTCATAAGAAACATCCTAGAGAACAAATAAGCAAGTAACTTTAATTGTTTAAGGAAAATTACACTGAATATTGTGTTTCAAAATATTTTCTTAATGCAGTATGTACAGAGAAACACACCAATGCTAAATATGACTATTAAAGGTAGAAAAGAAAAGAAAAAAAAAACAAGAAAAAATAGGAAAAGAAAAGAATTTCAATAACTTTCTATACAACAGTTATTTTAGGTCAGAGAGTTATAGTGCAAGGACTAGAGTTTAAGTTTATTGGTAAAGTATATATTTAACATGTGTGAGACCTTGGGCTCAATCTCCAGCAACAAAATTTGAAAACAAAATAGTTACAATTTCTTTTCTTTTTCTTTTTTTTTTTTTTGTCGGTTGTGTGGCTTGAACTCTGGACCCAGGCACTGTCCCTCAGCTCTTCAGCTCAAGGTGAGCTTGAGCCACAGCACCACTTCCTGTTTTCTGGTGGTTAATTGGACATAAGAGTGTCACACAGGCTTTCCTGCCCTGGCTGGCTTTGAACCGCAATCCTCAGATCTCAGCCTCCTGAGTAGCTAGTATTACAAGCGTGAGCCACAGGCACCCCGCCAAAAGCTACAATTTCTTAACTTCAGATTTAAATAAATCTTGAGAATCAATTATGATGAGAATCTATTTGTACTATAATTTGAAGCAACAAACTACAGAAAGAAACCTTGTATACATACAATTTAATACAGAATAAGTATTGGATAATTTGGTGAATTCTGGCTCACTTTGTTAGATAACAGCATAGTAATTATACAAAAAAAAGTTTGCATTTGAGATTCGAAGAGAATTAATATGTAAAATAATAAAATATTTGAAATTTTCTCTAAAGTGTTCTAGAAAAATTATGTGTGAGGAACAGATGAATCAAATTAGAAAAATAATGGCAAATGTCAAAAGCCGATTGATATCAGGGTTCATTATATTCTCTATATTTTTTCCTTAGACAAAGTTTTGTTTCCTTGACAAATTTGTTTCCTAGTATGTTTCTAATAATTTAAATATGACTCACACTTTACATTTGTGTACACATATGAATCCAGTATTCTTACTTATATTTTTATGATGAAAAGTTTTCGTTATATGAAGATTTGTGATACAAGTTATTCTATAAGAAAATCCTCTCCTTTGTTCATGATTTATTTTTATATATGTGGGTACAATAATTCTTTTCTTTTTGTCAGTCGTGGGGCTTGAACTCTGGGTCTGAGCAATGTCCCTCAGCTCTTCAGCTCAAGGCGAGCGCTCTACCACTTGAGCTACAGCGCCACTTCCAGTTTTCTGGTGGTTTATTGGAGGTAAGAGTTTCAAGAGCTTTCCTGCGCAGGCTGGCTTTGAATTGTGGATCCTCAGATCTCAGCCTCCTGAGTAGCTAGGATTACAGGTGTGAGCCACCGGCGCCCAGCTAGAACAATAATTATTTAAAGAGCAAACAGTATAAGATAAAGCATATGTTATACATTAGCCAATTACAAATATAAAAATCATAATACTTATGTTCTTGAAAAACAGTTTTCAACTACTCTTTGAACATATACAGTAGTCTTTGCACTTTGGATTAGGTATTAGGTTTTACATTTTTCCAAGAAAAAGGAGTAGCAAAATATAAGAAGCACTCCTGGGAGCACTCAAAGAAGTAAAAAACATAATTATAGAGCCAGGCGATGGTGGCTCACACCTGTAATCATAGTTACTCAGGAGGCTGAGATCTGAGCATTGCAATTTGAAGCCAGTCTGGGCAGGAAAGTCTTTTGGGACTCTTATCTCTAATAAACTACTCAGAAAAAATGCTTGAAGTGGTGCTGTGTTGCAAGTAGTAGAGCACAAGCCTTGAACCAAAGAAGCTCAGGAACTGTACCCTGACCCTGAGTTCTAGCTCCAGGACTGGAAAAAGAATGATAATAGTAATATTATACTTGAAAACTCAGATCTATTTAGATTAATAAAACTTGATAAGACCTAAGGACCTAATAAATATGTAGTATGAATAGCATATTGGGCCAGGCGCCGGTAGCTCACACCTGTAATCCTAGCTACTCAGGAGGCTGAGATCTGAGGATCGAAGTTCAAAGCTAGCCTGGGCAGGAAAAAACTCTTATTTCCAATAAGCCACCAGAAAACTGGAAGTGACACTGTGGCTCAAGTGGTAGAGTGCTAGCCTTGAGCTGAAGAGCTTAGGGACAGTACCCAGGCCCAGGGTTCAAGCCTCACAACTGCAAAAACAAAAACAAAAACAAAAGCAAATATTGGTAGGTAAAAACAATACTGCTATGTTTCCTTATACTATATTTTATGTTCTTTCTTTCTTTATTTGACAGTATTGGGGTTTGAACAAATGATTTCGTGCTTGCTAGGCAGGTACTTTACCACTTGGGCCATGCCCCCAGCTCTTTTTATTGTAGTTATTTTCAAGACTATAGCATATTCATATAAAGGTACTAAAACAACAAAGGATAAGTAACCTACTAATGAAATCAAAACCATAAATGATGACACAGAAATGAAGTTAAAGAAGCTAAGCACAGAAGAAATATAATAGATTACTTCAATAACACAAAAACCCTAACTGAGAGTAGTTGTACGTGACTTTGTTTGGAAGACTAACATGAAGTCATTGAATGCAGGTACTGGTGACTCATGCCTGTAATCCTCTCCACTCAGGAAGCTGAAATGTCAACCTGGGTCAACAAATCAAAGAGACCCTTATCTTTGATTAACCAACAAAAAGCCAGAAAATGGTGGTATGGCTCAAATGGTAGAGTGTCAGGCTTGAACTAAAAAGCCAAATAAAAACAAGAGGCCCTAAATATAAGGCCCAGTATTGAAATGTGCGCACACACACACACACACACACACACACACACACACACACACACACACACACACACGATGTCAGTTGCTGAGTGGATTCTCATATGACTAGTATCCTGTAAAGGAGAAATCTAGACATAGAAACAAAAACACAAGGATAACAGTGCACGAAGAAAGGAGAAATAAAGTTGAAGCTTCTATAAGCTACGGCATATGGAACATTGCAGCAACTGCAGAAGCTGGGGAAGAAGTGTGGAACAAAGTCTCTCCCCTGGCCTTCAGAACCCTGTTGACACCTTCATCTAGGATTTCTGGCCTTTAGAATTATGAGGCCATGGAAGCACTAGCATACTAATCTACCACTAACAGAAGCTCTGATTGATTAAACTAGCTGTATCAGGGTTTTGTATATTATAAAATCTATTACTATAGAGGGGATGAATTTGAAGTATGCATGTATGCAATTCATATACACCAGATTAAAGGTTCTAGGTGATTCTTAAAATTGGGTAATTTTGTTGTGTGTGCTCATACTAGGGCTTGAACTCAGGGCCTGGATACTTTCCCTTAGCTTTTTATACTCAAAGCTGGTGCTCTGCCACTTCAGCCACACCTACACCTCTGACTTTTTGCTAGTTGACTGGAGATAAAAGTCTCATAGATTTGCCTGTCTAGACTGGCTTGGAACCATATTTCTCAGATCTAGGATGACAGGTGTGAGCCAATAATAACTAGGATGACAGGTGTGAGC